AAATACATTAACATACATAACTGCATTCTCATAAGTACAAAATAAATATATATAATAATGCATTTAATTTAAAACACCAAATTCACTGCATTCAACAATAAAATTCAACACAATTACTGTCAATACAAAAGCATTTTATATATATATATATATATTCTTACTGTCAACATGCTAAAACCCTCTCCGAGTACTTGCGTCACTAAATGCATCCCACTTAAAGCTCCGCCAACACAGCCAACAAATTCACCACCTTCAGCAATAAATTTCAAGACAATTACTGTCAGAATACAAATGCACAAATGTCTCTCGCTATGAGCATCGCATTAAGACGATTTGTCAAGTTAAAAACATCTTTCAACTTTTAAACATGGATCTCAAGACCTCTAAGTTCAGTTCTGTTGTACTCGGTGTTAAGAACCCCGTCTCATGATGTCTGGTCAACATAAACAAGCCCTTAACCTGCATGATTTTACAGGGCTAACCGTAACCAGACGATTTTAAAATGATCTATTTTTGCACATTCCTAATATGGACACTGTGGAAAAATAAGAGTGTAAAATAATTTCTCAAAAACCAACAGGCACTGTAGGTTCTTCCCTCTACCGTTCTATCCCAAATGCAATGAGGTTTGAGTGCCTAGTGAATATGAACAGATTTGTCTGAATTGGTGGTCCTTCCTGCAGTTATAGAGTACAGTAAGTTAAACAGTCACACACTCAATCATAGACGGCTGCTGCTGTGCCATTATGGCAGAGAGGATGGACTTAAACTCCTTTGCTTGAGCCGATCACAGCACACACACACACACACACACACACACACACACACACACACACACTGCAGCCAAGCACTCCAGATGATGAGCCTCGCTCCTGTGGATTACGTAAGAAGTGGCATAGGCATCCTCAGGCAATGTCTGTATGTGTGTGTGTGTGTGTGTGTGTGTGTGTGTATGTGTGTTAGGCTCAGCTCTACATGCCTGACACTCAAAGCAAAACAAGTCACAAGCACTAACACACATAAATAACCTCCACAGCCATGTAACAGCCAGTATATTTCATATCTCATGTGGAATCGTACTATGGGACACATCTTTAATAAGTCTCACCAGTTTCAGCATTCTCAGCAACAGTGTAGCATCACTACTACTGATCATTAGGGACGAGACGAGATACCTTTCAAGCTGATGTGTAGTTGATAATGTGTGTGTTACTCTTCAATGTCCATTTTCCAATGGTCAATGGATGTTTCCAGCTGTGTCCGTAAGCAAAAAAAACCCTGCCTTCTCAGGCAATATACTACAAAAGTCATTTTATTCCAAGGCATTCATTACAAGCCCAGAACATGATCTCTTTAATAATCTGCAACCTATAATCGAGACGAAGCTTGATCATTGTGTCATATGTCTTCTTTAGAAATAAATACCCTTCATTAAATTTGAAGAGATGATCATTGTGAATAAAATTATCAGACTCACAGTGGATTATATTCTAAATTACAGTGATTATGACTGTCAGCAATCAGTGTTGGAGACATATTTGTGCATAGCAGCCAACAATCTAACAGTCTACTGCAGCAGAGGAAGTGCAAATACTCAGGAGACTATTTAAAATGTATCTGCTTTGAGCTGCGTGAGAGCCGTACAGTCTTGGGGCCCGCAAGGCTAGTTGAGTTATGAGTCTGCCATTCTCTCCCCTCTGTGCCTGAAAATACAATTCTCAAAGGACAGGGACCACCCAAAACTGTCTGCTACACCATAACCACCATTTCACCACCCACATTTTAATTATTCAGATGGTATACCACCAATACTAAAAGCCTATTAAAGGCTGTTTAAAGCAGAAGTGTGTAAAATAATCTGTGGCACTCTCAAAACATTGCCCGATACAGCAAAATTGTCTCAACCAATGGTGTGGGTTTGGGAATGGGACTATATGTTTGTCCAACCTGTGGCAGCCAGTGGGAGCATTTCGTTTGGTGATGCAGAAGTTACACACCTTTAATGCAAATACTTGAAAACTACATTCTCTCTCTGTCTCCTATCTTTCTCAACATCTGACTGTCGTGTCACTTTCTGCAGTCTGAAGCGAGCTGTGGGAAGCAGAACACTTTTGGGATAGCAGCGCATTTGCCCGCTGGCCTGAGACTGAAGACTCTCCTCTCCCTCCCTCTGCTCTAATATTCTGGATGATTTTGCCAGGATTCAGCCATTCTGGTCTCTTGATCTGCCACTTTCAGTCATTCTTAACTGGGGAGAAATTTAAACAACAGTAAAACAGATCTTCACAGCGCTATGCAGCTCACAGCTACAGACACACACTGTGTGGCATAAGCTACACATACCAATGTGATTTGGTATTAGCATTCATATAGGTATTCATAACTTACTTGTGCATCTAGCGCATTCATATGTTTGGACAGAGACTAAACTGTACAATATCAATGCAATGATAGCATCTAAAACTTTAGATACAATTTTTGCATATCGAATTAAATGGAATTAATTAGGTGGGTTTTACTGTATACCAACGTTCAAACGTTTGGGGTTTGTTAGAATTTTTTAAATATTGTTTAAGGATGAGTAAAAACAGTAATACTGTAAAATATTATTACAATTTAAAATAAATCTTTTCTATTTTAATATATTTTAAAAAGTAATTTATTTCTGTGATGGTGTCACATGATCCTTCAGAAATCATTCTAATATGCTGATTTGGTGCTCAAGTAACATTTCTTATTATCAATGTTGAAAACAGTTGAGCTGTTTAATATTTTTTGTAGAAACAGTTAAAAAGAACAGCATTTATTAGAGATATTAGAAACGTTAACTGTTACTTTTGATAAATGTAATGCATCCTTGCTGATTAATTTGTTTAAAAAAAAAAAACTGACCCTAAACTTTTGAACGTTTGAAAGGCTTCATGTTTCAAAAGCTGTCAGTGGTGTTTCATTGTCACACATTTACATTTACAAGACCAACAAGAGAGCAACAGTATACAAGTGATGCCACAAGTCACAGAGCAAGGTTTTTTTTTATAAATTAGAAAAAACTAAGAGAAGAGAAGAGAAGAGAAGAGAAGAGAAGAGAAGAGAAGAGAAGAGAAGAGAAGAGAAGAGAAGAGAAGAGAAGAGAAGAGAAGAGAAGAGAAGAGAAGAGAAGAGAAGAGAAGAGAAGAGAAGAGAAGAGAAGAGAAGAGAAGAGGTAAGTGCTAGTATTAATTGGTCAGGTGCTGAAGAAAAATAAGTGTCTTTAGACGTTTTTTGAAAATGGCTAAAGACTCAGCTACTCGACACACACACACAGACATTTCTGAAAGAATATCAACCAATATAAATGAGATACCATTGCAAAAGCAACAAAATACTATGAGATTTGTACCATGTATATCTGACCAGAAATACCAGTGTAGGCTAAGTCGGTCACAGTTTTGCTAGTCCAGCCCAGATTTGTCAACTAACTCTATTGCTGTAGCTTAGTAACAGAGATCAAAATCATTCACAAAATCAAAGGTAAGACTTCATTCATACCAACCCATTCAGATGAATCATGAGATTCCTTTTGCATTGCCGACAGCTCGGGATGAGACGTGAAGAAAAAAAGAAAGGACGGTTGCTCTAATCACAATTTGGAGTCTCTTAGGGAGATTTTCATTTGCCCTCATCTCACAGCAGCTGACATTTATCTGATCACAGTCGCTCAAAGAGGCTAAGTATCACCTCCTCTGAGAGCAAAGACGATCAGTTTCTAAAGAGGCTGTTCTCTGAAGAGCCGCCGCATGTATCAACTTCCACCAATATCATTCGGTGTCAAGCGAGCTGTTCTTCTGACTTGACTGACAGCAAATTATCCCATAGTGACGGCAGAAGAAATATTTTCAATTAGAGCCGAATGAATCGGGGAATGTGGAAATTCATTTCAAAACCAAAGGCCATCTATTTGAATACACAGTGTGAATGGAGATTTTGATTGGACAGGAAGTTCTTTGCCGTCTCTGAGGTGGGAATAGGCCTTAGTGACTTGTTCGGTATAATTAATAACTGAATTTATGTACTAGGAATCATTCATTAGGGGGGATGAGCGAGTCACTGAACTAATGTGATGTGCCTTACTGATCCCAAATCCCAATTCAGTAACAATAAACGTCCTTTAACAAAAGACTTATGACGAGTCTGACTGACAAGCCATGACAGCGGAACAACTCCGTTAAGCACAACAACTGGCATCACTTTAAAGCAGATGAAGCTTATGTTGTGGTGTAGCATAATGTAGTCACATTTCAGAAAGGCAAAACTAACAGTGGGTCATTCGTGTCCTAATGAATTTGTTATGAACTTGACAATGACAACCTTTAAACACAGCTTACACCTGATAACACTACTGATAAAGAAACTAAATACTTACGGACAGGTTCACACTGCATCTGAAACAGAGCACACACGCTATTTAATTTCCATTGTGAAAAGGATACAATCGTAAAGCTCCACTCTGAGTCCCGACGGCAAGGATTTTCTGGACGGGGTCGAATGCCATAGAGGAGGGCTGAAAGGGGAAGCCATGGCGCACAGTCTGAGAATCAAATCAGAAGAGAAAAATGTTTTAAAAAGCACGTAATGTAAAGCTTCGGGACATAAACACTACAGTCATTTACTTCAGAAAGTCAGCAATCAAACTATTTTTTAAAAAATGTATAATATATTTTATGAGATATTTTATTTATATTTTACGATTTATTTATTTTTAATTATTTGTTTTAATTTTATTTACCCATTTTATCTATTGTTTTATTTTATTTATCAATTTTTGCTTATGATGAATGCTTCATCCTTTTTAATGTAACAGATGTTTTACACAGTGTTGTTATTTTTAACTTAAACTAATACAATTTAAAATAAAATATTGGTAATTAAAATAAAGCTGAAATAAAAAAACAAATACTAAATGAAATCTTTTTAAAAGGCAACATTTTTTATTTTTGTGAAGATGAAGTGCTAAACCTACTAAAACTGAAGTAAAAATTTAAGCTAAATAGAAATATTGGGGGGGGGGGTAAGGGAACTAATAAAAATATAACAAAAGCACATAAAAATACAACAGCTTGAATATGAACAATGAAAATCTAAAAAACAAAAGCTAATCCAAAATACTACTAAATACTAAAATAGAATATACATTTTAAAAAAAAAAGATTTTACATAGTATTATTTTACATAGTATTTACATTATTTACACTCTTATATAATGATTTGAAGGATAGTGGCAAAGCATTGTATGTGTGCAGTCAAACATCCCTTCAGGGACAATTCAATATCAATTTCAACTGAATATATCCAACTATTTAAATACCCAGCCCTTTGAACTGCTCGAACGATCCCGATGTGCTATAGATAGACAAAAACAACAGGCAGTGAGAATAGAGACCTTGCTGAATTGTATCCACAGAACAACAATGGTTGGCTACAGGTTTACAGCACTGGCCTCTGCTTGACAGCTGTCATCGTCTCACCCGGTCTGTGTATTAAAACCTAGAGGGTGCCTATATTGAGAGCACTTCTGAGCATCAAAACGCACCTTTAATGCGGTCTAGCTAGGCAGCTTACTGTGTTTTGAGACACAGCCTCTGTCTCTGTATGTTTGTTTAGTGGCTAAAGCCGGTTACGTAAGCGGCGCTCACGGGGACGGGTACCTGTCGGCGAGCTGCGCAGCAGCAACAAGCTTCACTTCATCCTTCCCCATCTCTCTCATTTCCTTTTCCATCTTTCTACTAATTATGTATATCTCTACTAATTAAATATTAACCTAATCCAGCGTTCGTATGTGTCTATTTAATTTCAACCTGACAAAAATACCAAAGCCTGTGTAAATGCACTCATGTAACCTCGTTGCAAATTATTAAATTAATGGTTATTCATTAGAGAGTAGTATTTTAAGAAACTGTATTAATATCGTGCTTGTCACCATTTTTCTAAAAACTGAAGGAATATTTACGTCAAAATTCCCCACAGAAATCATTCTATTCAGAAATCACTTAGCGCTTGATAATAACATACTTAATGATAATGCCATGTAATCTCTTGAAAATAATTCATGTGGAATAGATTTGAAAACATTCTCCGTAGAATAATTATTAGACAGCGTCGTCAGGATTCTGTTTTTTTTTTTTTCTGCCTTCAAAGACTGACAGCAGCGCGAGCAAATAGCATTCCAGTGCGGGCTGTGAAGAAGCCGTTTATTGGTTGGACCTACTGTACGAATACGCCCCCTTCTATGAACGAGTTCTTGTTTGGACTGAACGAAATCAATGCATTCGTTTGCCATTCGTGATTGTATGCTGAAAACGAGGCAAGGATGTTATTGTACATTTATTAGTATTAACTGATAAAATAATGCCCAGCACTCTACAAAATGGAGGCTAAAATGACAATTATGCGGTCATTTGGGATTTTTGTAGCGTCTCAGCATATCTCTAGACACAAACTTAAATATTTATATTCTTATAGTATAGTCTTCACGTGATTTGTGAAGGACTCGGTGTTCAAACGAATCAGTTGAGTAAATGATTCAATGGCTCACTCATAACACAAAAGGCACTTGTCGCCACCTACTGTAGCCTATAACAAAGTAACCTATAGTAATGTTGACTGAACGAATCGATTTAATAAACTGATTCAAATTTTTGATATGAATTAAAATGCCTATCCCAGCTGCAAAGCTGACATTCTCCTACAGTTTCCGCACACACGTGTGTGGGCTCAAAATCTAATATCGCATTCATTTGGATGTGGCTTTGCGCGGAGCGCGATAGATGAGAAGAAGCCTCGACAGATAACCCGTTTCTCACTGAGAACTATTAACTTCATCCATTGTGCTGCCAGATCTAATCCAGAGAGGGCAACTAAACATACCAACCCTTCAAACTAGGCTTGAATATAACACATTGGACGCACTGGCTGTGTCTCAAAACCTCGTGATCTGCCTACCTAGACAACATTTTGGGCACCTATGATGGCCCAAAATTATCTTTAGATACACATACTGTACAGTGTGTGTGT